GAAAGAAACGGAAAATTTGTTTCATTATCACACGACACATATTGCATTCAAATGAGGCGGCGCACACTGGCGAAACAGTTTTTGCTCTCCTGTTTCAGAACGCCAGTGTGCGCTGCCTCATTTGAATGTACAGTCGTGAGAATTAAAAATGGGACACCCGGTTTTTCCTATTTTAAAACGGGCTCACCAGCTACACCGTCGGCAATGATAGTGATTGTCATATTTGAAAAAAAATCCGTTGTACAGAAAAGACTGATTTGCCCAAAATAGAGAAAAATGGCAGGACCTGTCAGTCGGGTGTCCCACTTTTAATGCTCACGACCGTATGTGTCGTGCGATAATGAAACAAATTTCCTGTTTCTTTCAACAAGTTTCATCAAACTTCAAACTCCAGTGTGTCTGCCGCCTAATGGTATGTGGTTTAATGGGTCTATCTCTAAAGCTGCAGCCGCAGTGCGAGCGGTTTACCTGGAGGGTAGAGTAAAAATCAAACGAGAAGAAGCCACTGTCGTTAGCGCTGACAAAGAAAGCAGATTTCCTTTTCTCTGGGTCCGTCCCATATGAAGTGAGACAAACGATAACGCGTGTGGCTTCTTCTCGTTTGATTTCTACTCTAGTGGGTAGCGAGGCGCCAAGCGACCCTTCAAGTAACCCACTAGTGTGTTTCCGAAACAAGTGATTAAACCGAATCAGTCGCACTGCGATTCCCCACCACTTTAACCAGCCTATAGCGGCCCACCAAGCACACAAGAGCTTGGTGATAGCCCCCAAAACAATTTATATGCTCATGTTTGGACTTATTATCCCGGCCTTTTGAGTTTTGAGTGGACACAGAATATAATAACCTTTCATAATTTGATTATACTGCTTATGATTGAATAAATTGAAAATTGAATAGAATTTTGTATTTTGAAGCACTGCCTTTTGCTTGAAGTGGAACTGGAAACTCGGTTTGTTCTCCTACAGGGCGGAAAATTTTTTCATATCAAATTCGGGAAAAAATAGTTATTTTTCTAACAAGTGCGGGAAATACCATTTCTCGTCGAAGCAATGTAAAAAAGCGAATTTCGCGGTTATGAGTACTAGGCTTAAGGAACACAATTTTTCTGAAGGGTGTGCGGAAAGATTACTCTTTGTGCATGCCAAAAGTTTTTTTTTCGCACATTCGTAGGAAAAAAACGGATCATCTTAGTTTCAGGTGTCCAGAAAATGGCAGAGATTATCCTGTCTTCAATCCCTAGTAGGACTGCTTATTGAACTAAAAGTGTCTGCCAACTGCTATGTCAGCTGCATACCTCAACTCTTGGAGTAAAATGCATTATTCGAGTTCAAAGCACACAAAAAAATGAATTCCTAAACGTTAAAATCTTGTTAAAATCACCTTTTCTACATTTAAAATCAAATAACGAGCACAGCCTGAATCACAAGCCTTCCATCGAGGTCTACGGGTGACGTCATCACTAGCTGTGGCGATGTCACTCGCAGACCCTGCCTGCTCAAGAATTGGTGATCGTAGGCCTCATTAGGATGAGCAATCCTGTTTACGATTGGTCGAAATGTCGAAAATTCCAATAGAATCTAAATCTTTCTTCGCACAAACAAACAAGCATCTTCAAAAAGATTTTTTCTGACCATTGAAAAATAAACAATTCTCGTCAAAAATCATTTTCTGTAACTTGGAAACATTACCTACATGTTTTAAAAACTGCTGTTTCCGTCACTCGTTAAACAATAAACATTGTCCGCACCTGTTAGAAAAATCCTAAGGAAAAATCTAACCCAAACAAAATAATATACTTTGACGTCAGTGTGGCAACGCAGCACTCCTTGCCTTAACCTTTTAGAATTGTTTTGGGGCTCCCACCAAGCTCTTGTTACAGTGGCTAAATCTAAATAAACCTTTACATACAGTGGCGACAATAGAGGTCCCGCCGCCATCTTGTTCCCAACCTCTTGTTACCTACTTTTAAATATTAATATATAGGATTTAAATGGACATCTATCATAAAAAATTAGAATCGACGTATTTGATGACCATTATTAGGTCCATCAAATACGTTGTTTTCCATGATTTTGATGGATGGTCACCTAAATCCCATATATTCATATTTAAAAGTAACAAGGGGTTGGCGGCGTTTTCAATATAAATATATGGGATTTTTGAACCAATCAAAAATAAGACAGCAATTGTCGCCACTGTGGGTTATAGAGTCACTGTAGCTCTTGTGTAGCAAACACACCACCTGCTGGCAATCAGTCGTGTTTGATATTTTCAGCCAGGCGCAAGGCATAATCGGCATGGAAGAACAATTAATTTTGGCTGTTTATAAATGGTAAGCTATAATATGGGACCCAGCAGACGAATTAAGGAACACTCATACGTGCAAAATTGAAGAATTTTTAAGGGAAATTTCACATCTTGTAAACTCGCAAAAATTCACCATCATAGTCTCTGTGAAAGTTAGACTCATGCACACACATCCTCTTATTTCCCAGATTTACATATTTTAGATAAAAACTGTCACAGAGGAGAAGCCTTTTGGCAAATTTTGAAAGAGGCATCTGCTTGAGCACCCGAAACTACAATAGTTTTATAGTGAACTTGATTTGGATTGATATATTTGTCCCGCGACGAGTGCGGCCAAGGTCTATCCACCCTCTAACCATTAACCTCCACCATCTTCCCACCAAGCTCCATACTACCCTCCTGCAGTGCGGCTTCGGGTTAACAGTTTTGGAGAAAAAAATTATATCTGTTTAGTTAGTATCTGATAAAAACAAAAACATAAATTAAATAATGGTGTCAGCTTGGAAAATTTTTCTATAACATTTTACTGGAAATTTTTTCTATAAAATTTTATTGGAAAATTCTTCTATAAAATTTTTCTATATATAATTTTTTTTAAATGTTTTGAGTTTCAAAGTAGTGTTTCAAACTCTCAGTGGGGGGGCGCCCCCCCCCCCCTTCCCCTGGATCCGCCACTGACTAAGTGGATTTATTGTGCTCATTTATTATTTTTATTATACAAGAACTTTTGTAATAATCAATACAAACAGAAAAATGGGTAATTAAACTTAACGTGAATTAAGTTAATTTTAATGCCGTGACAATATACGGCTCTGGCGTGCGTGACAGAAATCTTGGGTTCGTTTATTCAAAACTCAAAGTCCAATTAACACAACAATAATTTATTCAACGTTACTATAACACTCTGACACTAATTATTTCACTAGTTAACTCAATCAACTTAACTCTTACAATATTCACTATCTAAATCGTATCACAGCCAATCTTAAACTAAAATCTACTAACTAATTCTGGCCTTTATATATCCGCAATCTATTCCTATGAAATCCAGAAGAACGCAATAGTCTCTTTTCCTGAATAATGCAGTACCTACTTTCTAGAATTTCAGGTATGGATTCTGTGCGCCCTGGCGAGAGCGCCGCCACACACAGGTTGATCGTCCTGATCAACTTCGCGCCTATGATATTTCGTCAATCTGTCTAAATGTACAACTTTGATCTTACGTGTGGTGTTGCGCTGAACTCGATAAACCATATCATTGATTCTCGTGATTATTCTGTAGGGTCCTTCCCATGCTGAAGACACACGGCGACACTCCTTTCTTTCCTGCTGGATTATACAGCCACACTGAATCACCTTCTTGAAATCCGGCTGAATTGGCTTTGAAGTCGTATGTGGTCCTCATTCGGTCACTGGCCAGCCGAATATCCTCCCGAGCTAAATCATGTATCCCCAGAAGTCGTGCCCTTACTTCGACGGCAAAATCTCTAATTTCTTTTCGTTCTTCTTCAGGTATTCCAAATATCAGATCGCAAGGCTACCCGAGTTCCCTTCCAAAAACGATTCTAGCTGGAATTTCACCTGTTGACTCGTGAACAGCTGAGGAGAATCGACCTAAAGGTCCACAAACTTCGCGTCTGCAATGCAGTTGTAATACCAACACTCACATAATTATGGCTGCGAAACATGAATCCTCTACAGAAGACACATATAAAGCCTAGAAAAATACCACCAGCGCTGCCTAAGAATGATCCTACAAATTAAATGGCAAGACCAACGAATGAGCATTAGTATTTTAGAGGAGGCCATCAGAACAATTAGCATTGAAGCCCTCGGCATTTTAAGCACCAACTTCGCTGGACAGGTCACCTTGTTCGCATGCCCGAAGCACGTCTTCCACGACAGATTGTCTACAGTCAGCTGAAAAAGGAAAAACGAAATCAAGGAGGTCAACAAAAAAGCTACAAAGATGTACTAAAAGAAAATATGGCAAAGTGCCGCATCGATACCAGTAACTGGGAGACGACGGCAAATGATAGACCCCTTATGGCGTAGAATAGTCCATGACAGACCACAAACTTTTGAAGAACAGCGAAGCAGACACGAGAACGAAAAGAGGGACCGCAGGAAGGAGCGAGAGAACAGAGGGAGAGACAATGCAGACAGTGCCAAGACTGTGGAAGAGTGTGCGGCTCTAGAATTGGTTTATATAGCCTTCAGAAAACGCACAATCGACGACAATGAGAATAGAATAGAAGATAATCATACTCGAGTGATCGCCTATGATGATGATGATGACCGTGCAGAAATAAATGAGAAGATGGCATACTAGAGACCAGAAGGCAGGACTAGATCTGATACAGATGGAAGACTGCAACTGGTACTGGGGCAGGAGTAGGTATAGTCCGCAAGAACAACAACCACTACACACTGGAATGTATGTCTCTGTCTTTCAAGAAATATACGCTATACTCAAGTGCGTTCTTCCTATTTCATGTAGGCGCCCTTCAATAAACCATACAGGCTTAGTAGACTGAGTCTCTCCAGACAAGCCTATTAGAAGAGAGATAAAAAAAAACTAGTTCCACTGATTTATCGAACTATTAACTCCCTCTATGCTGCAAGAAAGAAATAGCCTTATCTATAATTATTTCTGAATTTGGTAATAAATTCTCCTTTTATTATTATAATCATTATTTCTACACTATTAATTCTGATTAAGAAAAAAATATTATTTTTTCGAATTCACTATATTAAATTAAGTATACATAAATTCAACTAATTATTATCACCCAGTGAATAATCAAATATACAGAGAGGACCACGCTACTAGACATAGGCTTCAATGGGACCAGTTGGCTGATACCCATATCACTGCATGCTATTAAAATTCGTGCATCTTCAGCAGTTTGGCTAACTTAGCTTCAGCAGCACCGCCTCGGTTCGCTGAGACCAAGTAAAAGCTAATTCATCCTATTACTCCCTATGTGTCTAGTAGGTTGGTCCGAACTATATATGTACTTACACACATTTCTAAGATAAAAACTAGATGCTGCTTGTAACACTATTACCAATTTCAAATTAATTTGAGAGCAAAATACATTTGTTATATAAACAATTAATATAAACTACAATAGATTTAATAACTGGGACAAAGACTAAGAAATAATTCTCTTTTCTGCCTGTGGTGAATATTTCAATTCATTTTAGCATCAACGATTTTGCTTGGACAAATATATTGAGGAGTTTCTCAGTACCTAAAAGAATAAAAATTGCCAAGTTAGGCTAATTAAAACTATAAATACAACATAACCCTATCACCTCTAGTACCTACCGTTCACCGCGTCACAAATACCACTTGGAAAAAAAAATATTCAGGTACAGGTGAACGGTACAAGAGGTGATAATGTTAAAAACATAAAAAAGTACCTGTAATAGTTCGGTTTGAAAGGTCCTGCTTTATTTAAGCCCATATATTTTGCTTGTTCCTCTGTTAACTCCGTTAAGTGGGCATCAAAGGTTGGTAGATGAAGACTGGCAACATACTCGTCTAAAAATAAACAAATCTTTTTTTTGCAATACTTTTAGAAAATTTCCTTTTTTTTTTTGTTTTTTTTTTATTGTGTCGGAAGGACTTGCTTCTTATGTTTCAACCAGCAAGAGTAGAGGATTTTTTCTGCATGGACCTATGATAATTTTGATTAATAGCAGGCCCGTAAATTCAGAAAAATAAAGAAATTATCTAGGAAATATTGCATTGCGACACAGCACTTTAGAAAAATATGTTTGTGGCTTGATTATTACAGGTAGGTACTCACCCATTTTTTTGGGAAGTAGATACACATCAGATTTATACCGCCCAGGAGGTGCATTGAAAAGTTCAATAAGCGCTAAAGCTTGGGTAGCCGAAGTAATTGAAACAACGAATGATGGCAAGCTGGAACAACTCAAATTAACAAGTCTTCCTTCCGCCAATAAGATTATCCTTTTGCCATCTGGCCAGATAACATGGTCTACTTGTGATCTTACTTTTTCCCAAGTTAGATCTGGAGTTCTTAGACTATTCTGCAACATATATTGGATCATTTTCAAGAGGCGAATTAATTATTTTTTTGATTTATTTACAATATCGATTTCAGTATTCGAGTGTCCCATATTGCATACAATACATCCATTTTTCATTTTATCCATATGTTCTCTCATAACTACATTTTTATTGCCTGTAGCAGTTATAACTATATCCACGTTACGGATTACTTCATTTAGTTTAACTACACGATATCCATCCATGCTAAAATGACATACATTGTCAGAAAAAAAAAACAATACTACTGCTATAAGTTTAATTACTGAGTCAAGTAGTAAATCTAGAGAAAAAATAAAGAGAGCAAATATTGAAAAAAAAAAACGTTTAGTGCACAGCTGGTTTATCTAAATATGTACTTATACCATTTTAACTAGGTGTGCTATAGGCATCTGTGATTTTTGCTAGTCTTTTGGCCCAAAGTTTATTTCTGTTCCTTGGAAAATAAGTTTGACACGACACAACTTTTTTTAATGGAATACTCAAACTTCAAAAAAATACTAACGCTTAAGGCATCAATGAACCAATAAGTAACCAGTAGAAACCAACATGGAGCTAGTCCATATTACAGTGACTAAATAAACCTTTACATACAGTGGCGACAATAAAGGTCCCGCCGCTATATTCTTCCTTACTTCTTGCTTATTTTGAATATGCATATAATATAGGACTCACATGAACATCTATCATAAAAAAATTGAAAATATCGTATTTGATGTCGCTACTGTAAAATAAATTCAAAGTCCATATTATGTAGAACTGAGATGAATGATAGTTTTTTACACCAATACGCCTAGGCTGTTTACATATGAGACCTGACATTAGTATTAGGGTGACAAAAGATGGTGTAATAAATAAAGTTGAATGTACTAAAATCCAAATGAATGAAAGGCCTTCAATTCGGTACGCTATCTTGGAAATCGGTATAAATCACCATGTATTTTCGAAACGATTACAGGTAGTAGAAAATGTGAAAAGAGTGAAATTGAAGAGCACAAAAAAATTGTCACGAAAGTTTTAACTTTTATATAACTATTAGCTGCCTATAGGTATGTAGTTTTAGGAAAAAAATCTAATTTTGGAATCAAAATTTTGGAATCCATAAATGTGGATTCAAAAAAGATATTTTGAGTAATAAATCTTTCCATGACTACATTATTATGTTTCATAAAAAGCGATTAGTTTTGTTTTAAGAATAGTTTATTATGTTTCCTACTCAAACAAGTTCAATAAGTTGTAATAAATAGTGGCAGTGATTATTGTGGATTTTGTTATTTGTGTTATCAAATCAACAGTGTTATGTACTACAAAATACGGATAACGAGAGAGAGAGTGTGAATATCTTACCTGGCTTGTAAAGCACAAATAGGATCGATTTCTGTCACATATACAACACATCCAAAGCCTTTCAAAGCTTGACTACAACCTTTTCCGACTTCTCCGTAGCCACAAATAACGACTTGCTTTCCTCCAAACATTACATCTGTGGATCTTTTTAAACTATCAATTATCGACTCTCTGCAACTATAGAGATTGTCATATTTTGTTTTGGTAACTGAATCGTTCACGTTCATCGCAGGTACTGTTAATTTTCCTCCTTTAGAGAGTTGGTATAAACGATGGACGCCCGTGACACTTTCTTCTACTATTCCTAAATGATTCAAAGCATGTGAATCCTGCTTGAAAAAGCTAAGACAAAAGGTGTTTACCTTTAATCATTTTAAACATAGCAGGATATTTTTTAAGCATAAGATGAGTTGCGTCGCCCCCGTCGTCCAAAATCATATTAGGCTGCCAGGAATCAGCGCTTACACACTTATCTATGCACCACCAAAAATCTTCTTCAGTTTCACCCCGCCACGCAAATACACAAAATCCAGCTTCAGCTAAGGCTGCTGCTACTTCATTCTATAACATTTTGTTTTCTTTAAATTAAGGGAAAAAATTGCATTAAAGTATAGTCTTTAATTGCAAATGGAAATATGAATAAAATGAAGAAAACCCTACAACAGACCGTTAGTAAAGGCAGGCTACTAGTATAATTTTGCAACAAATGAATGTTGTAGCTTTTGTCCAAAGTTATTTATTGCTATATACATCACATGTTGACTATTAAACATAGGCTGCTCATCAGAACATGCTGTGGGAACTCATGCACCATTTTCAAATGCCAAAACATTTTGCATCATACTGTATGCCCAACTTAAAGGCCCAAGTTCGAGTGCCCCTGTTCTGTTTCTTGAAACTGAAAATTGCTTCTGGGAGGCTCATACTCACCTTTCAACAAAACATACAGGCCTATTTGAATAAAAATCTAGCAAATGATTTTTCTCAATTTTTTTTCGAGAATGTATACAAATTCCACACACATAATATTATGTCGTTATACTAAAACCATTTGCAATCATTTAAGGCATCTAATATGCAAAAATTGGCATGTTCGAGGATTTTATTTTTGTGTTTTGAAGCTAAAAATATTAGTTAAGAGCTCCATGTGCCATTCAACAAGCGGAAAAGAAGGATCTCTCATAAAAGTATGCAACAAAAATTTTTCCTAAGACAAAAATCAAGCATTTCCAAGAATTTGCAACTCTGATAAACCTACCTGTGTGGAATAGATGTTACAAGCAGCCCAACGTAAACTAGCTCCCAAAGCCGCCAAAGTCTCTATTAAAACAGCCGTCTGAGCATTTATATGGGTGCATCCTACAATTTTTGCATTTTTCAACGGTTTATCGTCTGCAGCTCTTTTTCGTAATGCCATAATACCAGGCATCTCTGAAAAATAGATAATCAGGTGAGTATCCTAAAAATAAATTCAAAATATAGTTCACAAAAACTCTACCTTGTTCAGCAATTTCTATTTCACGTCGCCCAAAAGCATGTTGACTAATATTTCTCACACAAAAGTCGGAACTGCCAGACAAGTTCGTTTGTACCTTTTCCCTTGGCGATATGTCGTCATCATCGCTAGAGCTACCTGTGCAAGAAGCTGAAAAATAATAATCATCTAATGTAAATTAACTAATACTATTCAGAGAAGAATTCCCATGAAAAAGGAGGTATATATACTTACTAATATTTTCAACGCATAATGTGAAAAATTTTATTTTTGAGTTCTATGGCAAATTCTAAACATAATTTATGTATAAGGTCGTATCTACAGGTACCCATCCCAATTGTTTCAAAAATATTGGGAGTTGAAAACTGTCATTATCGCTACCTACTACTTTGATTTATTTGTATGGTGATTTTATAGCCAGACAACAATTTACAGGAAATTTATTTCGAATTTGACAGAATCCAAAAATGCAATGAAATACAGTGTGTTCCATTTAAAAAACAGCAGTTTTCTCAAAATTTGACAGCTACAATGATTGCCAGTTATTTTACATACTGCAGTTTTTGCACTATTCCAACCTCGCGCCTGTAACGGAGCCTCCAGGCGAGGACAAATTAAGAGAAGGAACCAATTGTTAGATGGTTCAAAATACACACAGAAATAAAAAAAATATATAAAATCAAAGAAGCTCACACACCGCCTTCTCTTTTTACTATTTCTACAAGATATTTTTTAACATGATTGCATTCCCAAATCGGTTCTTCGATTTGGGATAAATTATTTTACCAAAAATATAAAAAGTACATCAAAATATCAGTTGACGTAAAATGTAACAAAACAAAAAAATATCCACTATTTTAAAGAGCATTGTTTCTATGCAAAAAAAAAAAACTGAAATAGGTATACAGGAATCGTAAACTAAATGTGATATTAGTTTTTCCAGATAGGTGACACACCACAAAATATGTAGGTAGGTACCTACTAGGTCTATTGACTCTGTTCATGTAAAGACTTCAAAGAAGTCTATGAGATATTCTAATAATCGTCACTTGTTAAAATAGTAAAAAGTGAGGGAAAAAGTTTAGTCACCAAGTGCCAATAGCTAATATAAGTGATGCTAGGTGTAAGTTGGCAAATACATAGTATAGTTAAAGCCCTGCATGCTTGTTGCTTTTCTGTTTGTTCTAATTCAATTCCTATTACCTATTCTCTGGCATGCTGCGCCTATTAGGGTTACCTAAGTATTAAATTAATATTAATCCACTCAAATTGATTCACTTTTGCTTTGTTGTAAATGTAACTGGATATTTAGAAAAAAATTATACATGCATTCAAAACTCTACATTTTGTTTCTCTGCAAAAATAAATTACCGGAGCTATATGAATCAGTTGAGCTGGCCGAAAGAGATCTGCTTCTGTATCTGCTAGATTTTTTCAACGCGCTGGTTTTAGTTTCCTGAAAATTAAATCTTCACTGTTATATCCACGGAAGAGTTCAGCACAACTTTATACAAAACAAATAAGCTAGGCCTACAAATAAATACAATCATAATTTCAGGGAATTATACTGACTGTCGGCTAAGTTCCAAAAACTTTTTAGAATCATTTCAATTTTGTGTAGGAATAAATTGTATTCATACAACGAAAGTAGCAGTTTTAAGTAATAAATATAACAAAGCGTTTAATTTTGTGTTGCGTCATTTACAGACTGAGTATATTTTTTTAATTTTAGGAAAATGATTATTATTGACATAGAGGGTGTTCCGAAATTAGGTGTAGCCCAAAAAAATTTGACTTTTGCATTTTTTTTTGTTTTTTCGCATTTAATGTTTTCTGTTGGGAATAGTTGTAAAAATGTAATTTTAAATTTTCTCTAAAATTTGCTTATATTTAGTGGCTAGGTTAATAAAATTAAAGTAAATAACAATATCTAATTCTCAGGAGTATTGGTCATCATATGAACCAATTTTGTTAAGTAAAAATTTGATAAAGATACACAAATACACACCGCACAAAAATAATCGCATCACCAAGGCTTTTAAATATTTTGGCTACAGTAAATTTATTTTGAAAATTTCTTAGGTATTCCCTGAATGGGCATTCTTTAACTGAAAAACTCGAGTCAAAAAACATGAAACGACATGTTTTTTGACTTCTGTTAGGTTCTTGTTTACTTTTTTCGGGAAAATGCGGAAAGGCTTATATTCCACTTTGCAATTATGCTGTTCATTTCTGTGTTTTCTGCTTTGATAGATGCGATAATTTTTGTGCGGTGTATAGCTCCCAGTAGTAACTTTTTTGTGTTTAAAAATTGAAGATGAATTTTGGTAGGTACATAGGAATGTTCCATAAAAATAACATTTTCAACGTTCTCATTTATTTTTCTGTCCCTTCAGAAATTACCATGACATTCTTATTTCAAATCGGATACCAGGAGTTAATCGAGTTGAGTCGTACCGTCGGAATAGAACAGAAGTTTGTGCAGGTCGTGAGAAATCTGAGACTTAGGATATTCAATATTGTGCTCCACGACGGGGCTATGTACTGGGCCCTGTTCTTCTTCTTCTTGATCTACATAAATGTAATTTCACAAAATATACCTGGGAAAGGTGTGATACAAATATTTGCCGATGACACCACGGCCCTGAACAGAGCAGAGTGTCCTGAAACTTCTGACTGGGGAAATCAAATCTAACATCAAAACCTGAGTAAATGTAGCGGAACCCCAGAAGCTCTTCTTACATGGCCCATTTTCCCCGTTTCTCGTCGGAAACAATTTGCAAATTATCAGTGTCAAGTTCCTTGGAATGATCCTGGACGAGAATCTCTCATGGGCGACCATCATGCTTCTCAGCTTGCCATCAAGTGAGAACAGTTTTCTTCTTCGGAATTTCAAGAAAATGGTTTCACAAAACACTAAATATGCTAAAATCCTTCTATGGGTACTTCCATTCTCACATGAGTTATGGTTTGTTCTATTGGGGGCACTCAGCGCATGCTGCTTCTGTGTTGTTTTTTACATTTATAATGCGCTTAATTCAACGACTTCCACCTTCCAGGTGATCCATCAAAAATAAGAAAGCTATAGTAATTTTCATTGGGGCAAGTATTAAGAATATTGAATAATATCTCCTAAAAATTATAACGCAAAAATCCATTTGTGTTTGGGCATGTTTCGCAAACATTATAAAAATTACATTTAAGTTTAGAAAATTTTCCAGACGTGGTATGCCGTGAAAATGCCTTTATGCTTAGTGGTTTTTGATTGAAAATAGAACAAATATGTATAATAAAACCTATACATATTGCATCACAGCAAAGAAAAAGCTCTAAATTAGGCACTTAAGTCACAAAAATATCAAACTGCATAAAAAAATATTTAGCATACTTCACCCAAAAAATGATTTTTGTTTCAAAACCATACAAGTATAGTAGAACCCCGATTATCCGAGTCGCAAGTATCCTCTGGATTAACCGAACCAATCTAAAGACCCAAAGATCTTGATTATCCGAGGTCACGCGTCCATACTCCGTATTAACCGAGTTTCTAAAATTGTACATATACAAATTGTACATACATATTTCCATTTTAAATCGTCAGGGCCGATGAGGAATCCTCTTGGTTCGTGTGAGTGGTTTTCCTATTTATGTTTTTGGACTCTTCTCACTCTTTTAGCATGTTTTGCATAAATCCGGATTATCCGAGTTTTCTGTTATCCGAGGAGGGTGCCCCCCTCGTTACCACGGATAATCGGGGTTCTACTGTATGCAATTAATTAAATTTAAAAAGCAGTGGGGTTAAAATATCTCGGTTAATACAAAACTAATCAAACACATAAAAGCAACACTGAGACTAACCCAAACTAATCATGAAAATGTTGTGTAGATCAGTTTATTTTGTTACTATTGATTTATGTTAGTTTGTCCATATGTTATGGTTAAAGAATGTGGGGTAGACCTAAGTTTGACCGAGAGTTTAACAGGTAAAAGTGCAGATCAAAGTCGAAAGAGATTCCAAGGTCGCACTCTTTGACCAGTGAAAACTGGGTCCAACCAATTGCAGTCTGTTATAGACCTAAGTTAGTTGGTATGCACTTATGTGACCTATGTCTAGAGCTTGATACGTTATTCGATAATAAATAGAAGTAGACATTAATATGAACACCAACCCCGGTCCTAGACATAACACATTAAAATGTGCTTGCCAACAACTAACATTGGTTATAGCATATTCCTTTCTGGAAAGCCGCAACGCGCAGTTGAACAGGATGAACCTAGGTTTACCCGTTAATCTTGTTTTATCTGTAACATATATCATACAACATCAGGGTTCACTTTATTTTATATGGGCTCTGTTTAATGCTCCTGCCATTCAAACTCTGACCATGATAAGGTTAACACATTAATAATTTCTGGAACGTTTTTGAGATTCTCCAAAATCGTTTTCTAAAAAGCATAAATTACATTACTCAAGTTTGGTTTGAGTATTGAATTATCTTGCACTATAAAACTTGTGTTGAAAAAACAAGTATAATCAAATTTGTTTATCACTCAGTTTCTCAGCTGTTGGGCCTTAATATTCTACATTGCTTTATAAAAAAAACTTAATACATAACAGAGTATATCTGCCAGAAACTATAACACCCGTATGCACCATATGGACTTGGGAGTTTAATCTCACTTGGTTCAAAAATTTGCATATAAAAAAGAAGTCCTAATCTGGATTAAGTCCTTACAGTGCATTTGGGCATAAGTACATCTGTGTGCTTCTGATAGTGGTCAAACTACCACTATATAAAAAAAAAACAACAAACAAGCATAAAATAATTGAAAAAAACGCGTTGAAGAGGGTGAGGCAATACATATAATAAAATGTACAGCTTACCAACTTAGACCTTTGACAGACGAATGCGTTACTCCCCTCCAAACGCTAGAAATAAATTAACATTAACAATACGACAACAAGAGGAAAAACTTTGAATAATAGAAAATTAAAAAATGCTATTATTTTTAAAAATACTTTAGACCGCCGAAGACGCTTTATTACTGGTTTTATAATAAAACTTCTAAACTCTTTAAAAATAATATATGGGATGATAATTGTAACACAAATTTTCAACGTCTATTTCATTTTCAACGTTTGTCCGAGCGTTTGTCATGCATTAGCAAGACCAGAACAGCAGATTTATTTTTTTTTTATTTCATCAGTTGATGAATTATTGCTAATTAGTAGCTTTAATAATAAATTTGTGCTCTTCTTATTTTATTTTTAAATTTGCTGTTTTGCATGAAACAACAAATCATCATTAAGGCAAGTACTTAGTTAGCAACAATTGAGCAACAATTTCTGCTTATTTTGAAAGCATCAAGTTTTTCAAAAAATAAAAAAACCAACAACTTTATTATTATGATAACAACATCAACATCAATTAAGCAGCGATCATAATGACATGAAAAATTGGAATTTCTGCTAATTTGGCGTTGGTAATTTACTATAGCTACCTGAATTAGTTAAATTTGGATTGTTTTACCGATTTCTGATTCTTGATCGAGAAAAATTTGTACATAACCATATATTACTTATAATAATCTGTGTGCTCAAGCCCGACTCAAACCATAAATGCATCTGTTCCTTTCAAATCGGGATCGACTAACACCGGAGCGAGTAGCTCTTTAAAGTATTTTTTTATCAGTAAAAAGAAAAATTACCAAAAATGTATTTATTATTTTTTTGCAGTCAGTATGGTTTTCTTTTCTTTACACTTTCAGAAAAGACAAACGTACTGGTATCAAAAAAAAAAATATCATCAAACTGTCATCTTTTATTTTAGAGATAAATAGAGAAAAAAATGAAAAATTGCCTTTCTTTAAAGAAATCCAAAACGCTCGAAAAACTCGAAAACCGTAAGACTTGGTACTAAGGTATGTTTGGCTTAATTGAGTCTAAATGACCTCCCCTATCACCTTCCCAAGACTTTGCATCGACCTTCCAAACACCCTGTATATAACCTAATAAAAAAACCTCGAGAAAAACATAATATTACCCATTGTAGCTTTAATTATGGCAGTCCGAGGGTAATCATATATCTTGGAGAAGCTTGTTACCTATATGAAGAATATTATAATATATTTTCTGCTAAACCAAATTCTTTTCTTGTCATACGAACTGATGCATCAGGTATATGCAGTTTGTATTTATAAATTAATACAATTCGATATACAGGTATTTAGGTCTTATATTTTTTTCAAGATTTAACTAGTGCTTAGTACTTTGTCCTTTAATTACTAATTGTACTTAGGTACACCTTCTAGGTACAACTTTGTATTTTACAATTAACCGAGCAATTAACATATGACACACATGAAACAAACCAATATAATAATTATCATAAAAATATCTTATTATCTACATAGAATTCCAAGTTTTATTCTTTAGGTAATTAAATAAGAAACAAACCTTGGCTCCAGCTGCAGGGTCTGTCACAGGAGTATCAGAAACTTGAGTTAAATTTCGGTTGCTGATAATCGTTCTGATTTCAATATTTTCAGACATGGTTTAAGAAATTTCCACGAGATCATTCAAGCATCAAAAATAATCCAGAAAAGATTACTTTCCAACAGCAACAAGCCACCTTCTCCTTGGCAACTACAAAAATGGTTGCTTCTTGGGGTGCTCTTTACCTATGTGCAAATAATAAAAGGAACGATCCAATTTTACAGATCTCCCTAAAATTAAAATAAAAACAAAGACTTTGAGTATACATAAACTAAAGCAGTTTCAATTACCAGAGTCCCAGTCTCAGTGTAAATTGAATTTGTTTGAAGTTGGTCTCTTAAACAGCTGTTCCTGTTATGGTTATGAATGATATAATAGGGGCTATGTTCCGATATCAACTGTCAGTACTGAATTACTGGACGCCGTTCCGATATTCTTTTCAGTCCACTGATTAGGCATTCCAGGTTAATGTCATAACCGATCCGCCATATTAGCTTGGGGGGCACACAAAAGCCAAACATAACCTGATTCAATTTTAAACCAAGAATTTTCAATCTATTTTGTGAAGATGCCTTCTTTTTGCTGCGTTGTTGGGTGCTCTAGTAGAGCGGAAAGAGATAAAGAAAGGTTTTTCAGGATCCCAGCAGCATTAAGAGATCTAGGGAATCGTCTAAACGAGCTTAAAAAGGAACGACGAAATCTGTGGATTAAATGCCTCAAAAGGAGAGATTTAACTGAAACGTTTCTGAAAAATGCTCGTATTTATTCAAAACATTTTGTTAATGGTAAGTATTAGGACTGTCTTGTTGTTAAAATACAAAAAAAAATTCATCTCGGTACATCAAAAAAGTTGTTTATGTTTCTACAAGTATATAGGTAACTTTTAATACCTTTTAGGTAGTCCAGCAGAATTTAAGGATACAAACAATCCGGATTGGGTCCCCAGTACAAATTTAGGATATACTACGATGATTGATAGAAGCCCAGAATGAACAAGCCAGTAAGCTAAGCTACATGCCAGATCTGTGCACCGATCAGAACAGTCAAAACGTTTGAGGAGTCATTCTACCACAAATCTATTTTGCTAAAGTTTATTTGTAAGGTTGTTAGTATCAAACTTTTTTATTTTTTAAACAATTTAGATTCTTAAGCATTATTTTTGTTAATAAATTGTTTGTTTACGTTTACTATTATTATTATTATTATTACTATATTGTTGAATTGAAATGTAAAGTGGCATGTCTGTAAATAAAGATTCTTTCATTCATTCCATTCATTCACAAAAACTAAAAACAACTTAAAATTTATTGAATAAATCAAAAAACGCAAAAATTCCAAAGCACAAACTCAAAAAACATTGTAAACAATGATCTATAGGCTTTGTTGGCCCCTCAGCTAATATGGCGGACCTGTCAAAAGTCATGTGACCTGGAATGCCTAATTCAGTACTGAATATGACGTTTTGAATGCCTCAGTGACATCATTAATATTGATCGACTGTAGCCAAAAAGCCAAGAAAGGTAAACCACAAGAAGATAGTTAAAGTTTTCACCAGGGTTTGTACTTGCCACCAGGGATGTGCGTCTACACGTAGACTTTCATTGTCTGCTCTACGTGTAGACAATTGTAGACAATGTAGACAACGTGTCAACAATGTAAAATAATATAAATGACGTCTAATTCTAACCTCACACTTTCCTTTCCAAATATTATTTTTATTTTATTATCGGTTTTCCTCATATTTATAATCAGTGAATGCTGATATCAAAGTGATAGGTATTAGCTACTTAGGTAGTAGTAATTTTGGATCTTTTTTTTAAATTTTCTAAAATGAGTTTATTGTTTACGCCACATGTAGACAATGTGTAGACAAATGCCCACGTAAACAATTCGAATTGTCTACGCGTAGACAATCAATTGTTTACGTTGACATTAGTTGTATTCCTTTCAAGAGTTTGAACACTCGAGCTACTCGCTCCGGTGCTTCGAAGCCCCCGATTTGCAGGGAACAGAAGCGTGGTGCAACAAACACTTTTCGAAAGGAATAGGGGCGTGAAGCCCCGGAGCTGTTCCGGAGCTCCTCCTAGGTGTGAAAGGAATACAACTACTGTCTACAGGCACATCACTGCTTGCCACCAGCATTTGTCTTCCTTGTTTAACAAATAAAAATTGACTGAAACAAATCAATGACGTCAAAAACGTTCGTCGGTTCTTAAACCAGACGTCATTCATTTTAGGGCGGGTATTATAAAACTGCTTTGACAGTTAACTTGAAGTTAACTTTTTGAATTACATGTATTTTCAGAAGTTAACTTTAAGGGAGGGTATTATAAAACTGCTTTAACAGTTAACTTGAAGTTAACTTTTTGAATTACATGTAATTCCAGAAGTTAACTTTAAGTTAACTCTCAAAGTAGTTTTATAATACCCGCCCTAAAACTGCTTTGACAGTTAACTCGAAGTTAACTTTTTGAATTACATGTAATTCCAGAAGTTAACTTTAAGTTAACTCTCAAAGTAGTTTTATAATACTCGCCCTAAGTTAACTCTCAAAGTAGTTTTATTATACCCGCCCTTAATTTGTCAAAAAAATTGAATGTGTCATATGAATTAATCTACGACAAACCTTTTTTGTCAAGTTTCAAGGTCAAGTGTGAACCCTGGTGAAACGAACTTTACATCGGCGATTTTTTTCCGCTAGTTTAGCGCGAACACGCGCTGCTGCAGTGACGTCACCTGGCCCACTCGAAACAAGTTTCATGCGTTAGGGCCATATTCTCCGTAGTTCATAAAGCCTGGCTTAGTGGAAAAGCTCGGCTTTGTCACACAAAAAGCCAAGCGTTTCCACTAAGCCAGGCTTTATGAACTACGGAGAATATGGCCCTTAGGGCGGGTATTATAAAACTGCTTTGACAGTTAACTTGAAGTTAACTTTCTGAAATACATGTAATTCCAGAAGTTAACTTTAAGTTAACTCTCAAAGTAGTTTTATAATACCTGCCCTTAGTGGCACTGATCTCAAATTATTGGTATAGACACGTATAGGAGGATATGTTTTAGGGCGGGTATTATAAAACTGCTTTGACAGTTAACTTGAAGTTAACTTTATGAATTACATGTAATTCCAGAAGTTAACTTTGAGTTAACTCTCAAAGTAGTTTTATAATACCCGCCCTTAAAGCCATTCGATAGTTCTTTTCACGTGGCTCCGGTTTAACTAACCGGGTTACAAAACGGTTAGAGAAATGACATACCGTTTTTTAACCCGGTTACAAATTGACGTGATGGATACCTACCACTCGAATTTGAGCGGTATGTTGCGGTTTGTTAAACCGGAGCCACGTAAAAAGGGTTGATGATGTTGATGTTATTTTGGCTTTTTATTATTCTTAACTACAATCGCTGGCGCAAACAGCTTTATTACTTTATGACGTCATCTGGGGTGCCTCAACGTAATTAATTTTTATTAACGTAATAGGCAAAGAGGAAGATGCAAACAAGATTTAAAAAAGAGTTGTTTTGGGAATTTTAATTATGGCCGTTTGCACGGACCATTTTAAGGAAGCCTTAGCGATAAGTATTCCTTAAAATGACATTTTTTACATGGAGACACGTCACTTTAAGGAATACTTATCGCTAAAGCTTCCTTCAAATGGTCGGTGCAAACGGCGTGCAAACCTTAGAAATAGACCTTAGATTGCAAACACCCTACGTCAAGGCGAGAAACGACACGATCCCTACGTCATCACTGGTGCTTTGTATGATGGGATTTGGGGAAATTGGAACTACACAGGCCTTATGAGGATAGGCTATCCTGTAGTAGAGTCCGCGTCAGCAGTAAAGACTACGGTGACGAAATATAAAGCTGCGCGAAGCGGGTCGGATCTCTCTCCCTCGTCTATCTCTCGCTGTCTGCCGTGACCTCGGCCGTGAGCTGAAACCAGCAGCGGGGTATCTTTTTAGACAAAACTTGGATACAAAATAAACTAAATAAATATGCCTGCTGGCCGCACGACAATGAACCACGTGCTTGGCGTTCGGCAGCAGCACCGATCGATACGATAGTTCGGTTATTCTTCAAAATTGGGTTTGTGCGCATATGACGACACCGTACTCTTTACTCTTGACGCGGACTCTAGTAATGTGTATTATCCTTGACATTATAAGGCATTCCAATCAATATGGCGGCCTAGGTCGAGCAGTGAAATTGGTGCCATAAGGATTTCATTTACCTTAATTTTGACTTTAGAGTTTAGACAACCGTACTGTGATTCGGAAGTAGGCCAGATATGCTAAAATTCAACAGTATAGTAAAAGTTCTTCAAAAAAAATCAATATTTATTTATCCATACAAATAAATAAAATGCTAAAATACATCATTAAAACTAAGCCCGAATCACTAATAACTAGGATTAAAAATGATGAAATGAGATATTAGAGAGTTCTCGTGCTGTCCAAATTTGAAATACCGTAACGCTATTTGACAAGTATGACAGTTTTTACGGTATTAGCGTTAGCGGAGCCAGTTACCCAACGGCACTTAGCGGATGCCTTACCGTAACGCTATTCTATGTCAAAATTAGTTTACGCTCCATTTACGTCTACAAAAACAGTAATTTCTAATAATTCCTCGATAAATTAATCAAGCTCAGGAATCTTTAGGATAAGTAAAAGTTAGAAAACAAGCAAAAAAAGTTGGGTTAGATTACTCAACTCAGCTGTCAAAATTTAAACAGAATAAAGCCTAGTACTCATAACTGCGAAATTCGCATTTTTTTGACATTGCTTCGACAATTTGACGTGTGATACACGCATAAAACGTCAAAATGTCAACGCAATGCCAAAAAAATGCGAATTTCGCAGTTATGAGTACTAGGCTTAAGGGATTAGAGGATTTTTACGTTTTCGTGTCCGAGAACTATAAAATACCATATAAAATACCGTATTGTTAGCGGTACCGTATTAGCGTAGCGTCTGAGACACGAGAACTTTCTATTATTTTCAGTACACTGGATTCAGTCGATTCAGTACTGAATGACCACAAGAGTACACTGTTGAAATCGGAACGGCTAATGACGGTAAAATCAGCACAGTAAATCCAGTACTGGCAGTTGATATCGGAACATGAGGCGTTTTTTTGCGTCCCAAATGTTTCAAAACATTTTTCGAAACTGGTTTAAGTAATGTCACCATGACGTCATAATTTCTCGGCGCGAGAAAATGGTTTGAAAATGTGAATTGGATTGTATTTCGAAACGGTTCGAACCAATTTTGACGTGACGTCATGGGTTTATCGCGAGAATGTAGTTTTTCAAAACAGTTTAGAGCCAGTTTCAAAAAAGTGGACGCGAGAAAACGCCTATGGCCTTTGTGAGAAAAGAATGACATATGTCAATTATGTCATAAATTGTTTCCATACAAAAATAAAATATTTAAAATTAAAAATAAATAAATAGGAAGTTAAGTTTGGGAAATAGGAATTGTAGTGTTTGTTCAATATATCATCCTCACCAATTTACATCTATACAGCTGAAAAACAATGTCCAAGTATAAAGGTAACATAATATTTGCATTAATTAGGCTTAAAAGGCTAATTTGCCTCATTTTAAGGTAATTTTCGTCAAAAACGCAACAAACCAGTAATGGGAAAACAGGGAAGAGAAGTATTAGAGGCTCTAGATGAATCTAATCCTGTTATACAAATGTTCAAGAGTTTCGCAGCCGAATTAGATGATAAACATGATCGTTATGAAAGAATTGTTAAACTCAGCAGAGATATTACAATTGAAGCTAAACGGATAATATTTTTGCTTCATAATTTCAATATAGAAATGTAAGGAACTCACGGCCTGCTCAGAGTTTCCCTAACGTAAGCCCTTAGACGTAAGACGTTTGGTTCACTACTCGGTTCACTATATCCGAGTTTCACTATAAACAGTAAAAAAATTACATTGGTCTTTATATTATGGGAATTTGGAAAAGCGTTCATTATAAGTAACCGAGTGTTCACTTTAAACAGCTTTTTGATATTGTAGACCATAACATTGAACTCTTTTATTAATTAACAGGCCACTTTTGGTTTTCATTTCATTATTTTTCATGAAAGCAACCCAATATACAAAAATAGCTTATTAATTATTTCTGTAATTGAATTAATTGTGTCAGCTTGACTTATTTCTTGTACAGTGTTTTTCCACTGTTAGTATGCACATGCAATAATCTTTTTTATTATTAGGTCTGTTTCTGCAGAAATCACAAACCAGTCAGAGTGAATTTCATTGGTTGAAATTAGTTTTCTGACTATTTCTGACTGTTTTCAACCAATGAAATTTGCTCTGACTGGTTTGTGATTTCTGCAGAAACAGACCTATTATTATTATTATTCTCAACAACAGTAAGTGGGTGAGGCTGATGAGATCATTGCTGTTGTTATCTTATGTCTTTGGACTTTATTATCACAGTTAACAGTAAGATACACATGACCTAAACCATTACATTAGTCGGAGTTAGTTTGAATTTATCACAGATTTGTTGGTTGGTATAAATGGGAACGAGTAGATTCCATGCAATGAAGGAATAATAAACCTTATTGGTTGCAGTGCATGAGCATGGGCTCGAAGGATTGGATCTAAATCTTAGTTGGTGGTGAACTAGAGATAGTGTACTATGCTTCTTCAATAAGGGCATTGCACCTGTACAAGGCACGATGTGACACTCGGTTTGACAGGAAGTTTTTTCACATGAGGCAAGAGCTTTTCCGCTTTTTCAATTTTTTTGTGTCTTTTGAGTTTGTTAGTATTTAAAGTGAATTTAGGTTAAGGTCCTCGCAGTAGTTGTTTAGTATTTTAATTTTTCAAATACTACTATCATCAAGTCTCCTCTATCTCATCTTTCTTCAATATTTGTTAGCCTGAATGCTCCAAAGCACTCTTTGTAGGGCGTATTTGCTAGAGCTGTGAGGATTTTGATTGACACAATTCTCTTCATTAAGTTTATGGAACAACCAAGTTTCAGTCTAGAGCCGCTTTCCAACTGGCCATTTTATGCACGCATTTGCGTGCACAAACACATGAAAATTGTGTTCCATCTGTCAATGGGTTTGGAATGTAACCTACCTCTCCCCTGCCCCCTGAAGCACAACCTCTCAATAATATGTGGCTTGGAGTCCAAGTAAACAATTTGACATGAAAAACGGTTATTTTAATGCGGGAAATATTTAAGCTTTCAGAAGCATGGTCCATTCAAACTGACATCAGCGCTCGAAGCTTGTGAGGTACCAAGCGCGTGGTGTCAAACTTACGCACATTTTCAGCTGGAAAGCGGCTCAAGATTTGATTATTGTTATGTCCTTGCTGAAATGTGCCAGGTCTGGTCTGAGGTGGGATTACAGTATGGTTTGGTGTTATTTGCAAAAAAGGAAATACATTCTCCTATTGACATTGAAAGTGGCTTTTTAATGACACTTGACAGGATTAAAAGGTGTATTTTTACTGCCTTGTCAGAAAAAGTTTGTTGCTATGCAAGAGACGATTCTGATCCTAGCCTCGGCTTCAACCCCGGCATTAGTAACTAGTAAAACAAATAACTATGAACAAAAACAAACAAAAAAATAAGTGGCAGAATGTTAGTGCTTGAGAATACACATGATATTCAACCAAACTCTAAGCCTTGATGGAGAGAAGAAATTGAACCGACTCTTGCTGGGTTACAACAAAACATGCGTGTGAATGACACCAGTATTTAGGTTTATTTTTTATGTCTCACGGTTAAGTTGTCTTACATTATTCGAGCTATGAATCCAGGTCTAGCATTACATCAACTTTAAAATAGATTGTACATTTTTTACGTCTTACGGTTAAGTTGTCTTACGTTGTTGCAGCTATGAATCCAGGTCTAGCATTACATTTACTTTAAAATTATTTTAATTATTTTTTAATTAAATATTTTAAAGTTATTTTGTCGTAGGTAACGATTCAACTGCGACTCTGTTTCAGAGGCAGCACAGCATACTTATAAATTGATTGTTTTAGATCCTTATTAGTGATATTTTTCATTTTCTAGTGATTCCAAAAGAGATTCGATACTGGAAGAAGCCAAAACTCGTTTAACAGCCATTTTCCAAATCAGTTTCCTAGCAATCGCTAAAGAATTGCAAAATCATAATGCCTATTTGTACCATAGAGCATTTACTGCGGGAATGCAAGAATTTATTGAGGCTCTTTGCTTTTATCAGTTTGTTAAAGAGGAGAAAATCGATAATTGGAAGTTAGTTAATAACCATTTCCAGTATACTGAGGAGGATAATCCACTAAGTTTATTATTTACTCAATACGATTTTTTATTGGGCATAGCAGATTTTACCGGAGAATTGATGAGAAAATGCATCAACACCATCGGATCAGGCAATGTTAGCGATTGCTTTAAGACTTGCAATTTTGTTAAAGCCATTCACACTGGATTTTTAGGTAAAAACGCCTCCTGAACCTTGAAAAATAACTTTAAAACCTCTTATTTCAGGCTTATCTTACACTGGAAATAGGGAAATATCCCGTAAGGCTTATGTCTTGAAGCAAAGTTTGAATAAAATGGAGCTGGTTTGTTATAATTTGCAAATAAGAGGCAAAGAAATTCCAAGACACATGCTACTTAATGTAATTGAGTTTCAGGATACTGAAATTGATGCAGATGAGGGTTTTGTAAATTGATAAAGCAAGCAGTTTTTTGTATTATGATCTTGAATAAAGACAATTATTATTATTATCGATACACCAATATATCTATTATATTTTATCATTGATATTTTTGAGAGATTTTCGGATTAAGGAAAACAATTGGTGATTGAATAGAAGGGAAAACGTTTTATTCCAAACAGCATTTACAATAGATACATAGATTTAGGTATTACTAAAACAAGTGAAATCGAGGCAATGGACCCAATCAAAGATGCTAGAATACAAAAAATGGAATGTGGAAGTCTGCTATATACCTACGTATAAAGTCCCGGAGACGTCTAGAGTCTGTGTGGTTCTAAATTTGGTAGAAAATGTTTAGTTTTCGTTTTAAACAAGCTGCCGCAAAAAAAATTAAGTTTTTATTTTGTGGAAACCAGGTAGGTACCTACCTACTTGGAAATTTATTTGGTTAAAAGCATGTTTAAAGAACTCGCCTTTTTTTCATCTTGTAGTCAGTAATGGAAGTAGCTAAAGTAACCTAGAAATTCGCTTGTTCCGTGTTCCGCTTTATTTGTCCAGTAGAAGTCGAGAACTATCGATAGTTTGGACTATCGAAAATTATCGATAGTATTTCTTGTAATATCGATAGTGTCGATAGTTGCATGTTATGCAACTTAGACAAGGAAAGAGAGAGGATGCGTAACACGATATCGGAATGGAAACATAAAGGAAGAGAAGAAATTTTTGTTGCTCCGGTTCCACCAATCGAAATCACCATACTGTCAGATGTCACTGATGTCCAGTGTAAATTGAAAGTGGAAACGTCATCCATCGATCCAGAATAAAACCGGCCAATATTAATGTGCTAATATTTATACATAAAAATGTGAATTTTTAATACAATAAGGTATCATCAGATAAGTTTACAGTTTAAAAATAAAGTTTTTACAGTGAAAGAATTTATTTTCATGTCTATTTCAGAACTTTGAAACTATCGATAATTATCGATGGTTTCTTGTCCACTATCGATAAATATCGATGGCGCCTACTATCGATTGTTCTCGACCTCTATTGTCCAGTACCTACTTTAGTTTGTAAAATATAAAAAAATAAAGAGTAGCTTTACTTATATGTTTCAAGGAGATGAACGGAGCAAAAACCGTAACAACGCTTGCCTACGGACAAAACCTCAGTAGCATTTTTTTTAGACTTGAATATCAAAAAATAGTATCCATATGTATTTTTGTAGTTTGCTTTGTTTTTTGTGACCGCCAAAAAGTTTGCAACAAATAGGAAAATATTTTATTATTAAGATATCAAAAAAAAATGTTACGTAGGATCGATTCAGCGTACCCATCAACAAAAAAAATCACTGTCACAGATGTCATGTGACCACAGTCATGACGGCAAATTTGAAAAGTTCGCCTCAAATATGTAAAAAGTGGGGTAAGATGAAATCGAAAAATTGTAGAGAGAAAAGTCGTTCAGGATTCGATTTGAAAAATATCAAAAACTTTCCACTTGGTTCACATAATTCAAAGGACTGCGTGTTCCGTATAGTTGCCGTATGCGGCAGTGATGGAAAGATGGATAGGCAACCAGTCTTTCGCATTGTGGGCAAGAAGCTACACAAGCACATTACCCACAACGAGAAATAACACATAATTTCATTTAAAGGTGACATATAATTAGTTATCCATAGTGTATCGTTAAAAACTAAATACCAGACGTGCTTAAATGTATGTGTTTTGTGCAGACCTGTGAGGCAAAAAAATAAAACAACACTTAAACGTTAGATAAAAAAACTTGTTATTCCTAAACAATTCTTGGGCAAATTCAAAGGCACAAAATACTAGATTGTAAGGTACAAATACTTATACTTATATGTAAACTTAAATTTAGGATTTAGATGCAAAACTGATTTTAATTCTACTGGTTCTTAAAAATTACAAGTTTTGTATACATTTGCCTAACTCTATCAGTGATTCTACTTGCTTCCTTATTCTGATAATGGATTCTAACGAAAAAATAAACACGTAAAATTGCGTTGATCAGCTGAAGTAAATGATTATTAATAGGATCTTGGTCCAATATATGATCACTAAACTCCTTAAAATAATTGTGAATGTTCATGTCACTCATGGTCCATATTATAATTTTTTTGAGTGTAGTGTTTGGAGTGTAATGAGTACGAAAATTTTTTTCGGCTAGACTGCACAGTGTTATTACATCCTCTGATGCCTTACATAATCCCCCAAGATCTTTTCTATTTAGTAAAAGTGATGACGACTCATCAGAAAACAAAAAATTACAACAAATCGCGTATCTAACACTAACGTATAACAAGTGCGCGCGGATTTCTGCCCCTAATGTGCAGTTAGGGTTGCCTACCATGTTTACATCACTGTTCGTGCCGTACACCCAGTCCATTTCATACTCATGTCTCTTTAGTGCAGCTGCTGAGGAGGGGATACCTGTTTTTGTCGCACTCATTATGTTAAATGGCGAAAATTGCTTCCAACACGTATTCCAATTGATGAAACCTGTGAAGGAAAATATGACAAAACTTTCGAAAACGTCATATGTCAGCGAGCAACAGAAAAAAACAACATTCCCCCTTGTGGCATCTGTCTTTCATGGCTTCATTTTTTGGGCAGATATGGCAAGGTGCGCGCATTCCAGTTTTTGGCTATAGTTCATTGGGTAAACTTTTTAAATTTGACGCCATGACTGTGGTCGCATGACATCTGTCACAGTGATTTTTTTTGTTGATGGGTGCTGAATTGTACGAAAGCGTCCTGGTGTCAATGAAACTATTATTAAATTATTATTTTTTCCCACATATCGGAAAAAAATTCGAAATATAGACAAAAAAATCCGATACATAGGAAAAAAATCCTATATATAGGAAAAAATTGCAACATATAGAGAAAAAGATCCGACATATAGGAAAAAAATCCGACATATAGAAAAAAAATCCAAAATATAGAAAAAAAATACAATACATAGAAAAAAAATTCGACATGTTGAAAACAAGTCCGACATATAGAAAAAAAATCCAAAATATAGAAAAAAAATCCAACATATAGAAAAAAAGATCCGATATATAGGAAAAATATCCGATATATAGAAAAAAAATCCAAAATATCGAAAAAAGATCCGATATATAGAAAAAAAAATCCGACATATAGGAAACAAATCCGACATATAGAAAAAAAATCCGAAATGTAGAAAAAAAATCCAATAATAGAAAAAAAGATCCGATATATAGGAAAAAAATCCGATATATAGAAAAAAAATCCAAATTATAGAAAAAAAATCCAATATGTATATAGAAAAAAAGATACGATATGTAGAGAAAAAATCGATATATAGGGACCAATATCCGACATAGGACATAGTACCTACATATTGAGATGTTATATCCATCCAATAAGTTAAGTCTCAGCTGCATTGTGGTATTTTCAGTATTAAACTTATTTGTCGTGTATGTGGATATTTTATTTATCAACAATTAGGTAGGTAGTACCTTCGTAATCATACCCAGAAGTGTCTATCGTAAGTCGCTGTATTCTATTGAAAAATATTTCGATTCCAGAAAAATTGAACACCCTGCTTTTCATTTGAAATGGAAAACATGGATATATCTCTGGAGTTGGATACTACAAATATAAATACAAACGATTTAATAAAGAGCTACTTTCTGATCGGATTGCATTATGAAGAAATATTAGCTTTCCTGTATTTAAAGCATAACATAGAAATGAGTTTATCAACGCTGAAAACATCTGGACAACTATGTGGATATCGTTGGATTCATCAGAGATACAAAAGGGACTCGTTGTAACGCATGCCACTATCCAAGTTATTCTTCAAGAGCTGGATCCAGAAGCAGAAGGTCTAGAAAACCGAAAACGTAAAAGACTACGCTGTCGCAAATATGTAACAAAGGAGCCCAACTACATATGACATATGGATGCCTATGATAAACTAAAGCCTTACGCAAACGCGATTAGCCAAGGAATCGACGGTTTTTCTATAATTCGATTTTTTTTTTCTATATGTTCGATTTTTTTCCTATATATCGGATCTTTTTTCTATATATTGGATTTTTTTTCTATATTTTGGATTTTTTTTTCTATATGTCGGATTTTTTTTCAATATATCGGATTTTTTTTCCTATATACTGGAATTTTTTTCTATATATGTTGCAATTTTTTCCCATATATAGGATTTTTTTCCTAAATATCGGATTTTTTTGTCTACATATCGAATGTTTTTCCGATATGTAGGAAATAATAATAATTTAATAATAATTTCATTGACACCAGGACGCCTTCGTAGAATTGATCCCACGTAACATTTTTTTTGATATCTCAATAATAAAATATTTTCCCATTTGTTGCAAACTTTTTGGCGCTCACTGTATAATATCGTACATCGTTTAGAAGGTGGCAAAAAAGTCGCTTATAAGTACCTGTAACCAGGGCCGGCCCTACCATAAGGCGAATGGAGCAAGCGCTCCAGGCGCCGGACCTCGAGGGGCGCCTCCGACTTGATCCTTGGTGAAAAAAAATAAATAAAAAAGAGAATAATATGTTTCTGAAATCTGTTTAATCCGAACGATATTTTTACATTACAGCCTATGGCCTAATTTTTGATTTTTTCCCTGGAAATCTGGGATACTTTGGGAAATGTAGATTTTTTTCATATATCCAGGAGTCTTTTAGCTTTGACATACCAAAATTTGATTGGATGAAAACCAAAGATAGCTGATAGTCTAAAGTGTGTTTTAATTTCGCTGTGTCTCGAATCCCGGTACCGGTAACACATTTTTTACTGGTAGTTTTGATGCTACCCGGGATTCAAGCAAATCCCGGTAAAAAATGTAGTCGTTGACGGTTTCTGTTTCATCAAAGTCCAACTTAACCTAACTTTTTATGTTTTTAACTTGTTTTGTTGACGTGTGGACGTAAAGTGGAGTGTTTTCCTGAGTTTATTAACGTGAAATTACTTTTACAATGGTTTTTAATGTAGGACAAACATTTTAAAGTTATAAAGAAGTTGAAGAGACTTTGACATGTGAAATGTGCCAGTTTG